ATTTTATGAAAAATTCATAAAAAATTCAAAAACTACAATTTTACATTATTGAGTTTTTTTTAATAATAATAAAAACATTCTTAAAGTAAAGCAAGTCAAGAAATATTTAGTTAAATGATAATTATGTAAAAAAAATTATTTTAAAAAATTAACTTAATTTTGAAATCTTTATTCTTTTGTCAATAAAAATACATCATTCTATGTATCGCTTTATACCAAACAACTTTTTATGTTACAAATAATACTCTGAATATTTTTTTTATATTTTTAATCCTTCTTGATATATTCGGCCATATCTAGACATTATGTATAATAAGAACACATATCTAATGATATATTAAATGCTATATTAATATAAATATAATATAAATATTAATATAAATGCTATATTAATTAATAATTTCTACTTACACGAATTGGGGTATAGGGTTTCGGTATTTCTGGCTGCACATATTTCTGTAAATAAACAAAATCTTTAAAACAATGATTGTATACAATATAAATTTTTAATATAAAAATAATAATATATTTACATAACACACACGTTGATTTGTACAACAGCAGCAGTTACAGCATTCATCGTGATTCAACTGAAAAAATAAATATTAATATTTTAAAAGTTAAACAATTTATTGTTTCTATAATAATACAAACATTTTTAAAAATGAAATTCTTAAAATAGCAAAAGAATATCAGAAAAAAGAGAATTTTTATTAAAACTTAATATAAAACTTTTGTTGTTATTTTATGTAATATCTTTTCATGCAATAAAAGTGATTTTATTTTCATTTATATAATGAAATAATTTCAAATTTTATTTTTTTGTAATAATTATTATTATTCTCTTAATATTATTATAATATTATTATTATTAATTTTATAATATTATTCGTCCGAACCAATTGCTATTTGTTTCTAATGAAACGAAGATCACCACTGTGATTTTAAGAAATGAAAAATTAAAAAAAGAAATTATGAATAATAAACATAAAAAAAATTCAAATTTTAAATTCGCATAGATATAATTGTAAAAATACAAATAATGGAAATACAAAATGCTGTGATAAAGAAAAATAATAATGATTACTTATTCATTACATACAATAATTATTCATTAGCATTTCTAAAATTCTTTATATAATATAAGTATACAATAACTTCAAGAATTAAAATATAATAAACAAACTTTTTATGAGAACATAATAATTTATTTTAAAAAGTTCATTTATTTTAAAAATATGTATATCTATTGTGAAAAAATATTCCGAAAATTGTAAAATAACAAATATAAGAAAATACATATTCTTCACATATTCTCACTTTATAAACAAATATTATTATGAGGCAAAATTTCTTTAAGAATTTATAAATTTTTTTCAGTTTTATTTTATTCTATATATTCTATATATTCTATATGAGACATTGAATGAGCATTAAAAATATAAAAATATAATACAAAATTTTTAAATATTCAAATAATATTTATGTAATATAATATTGCCGCGAAAAAAATTTTGATTTTTGAAGATACCAGATTTTCTATTTAAAAAATGAATAATAGAAATTAAATAAATTTATTTTTGTATATAATTTTCTAAAATTACGCGAAAAATATGATAGAAACCATTATATATAATACCCTTATGCATTAAGAATGCGATCATTTTCATTTTTAAAGAAATAATATAATAAATAAATATAGTGAAATAAAAAATATTTTGCAATTAATTATATAACAACAAATATGATATATAACAACAGATATGAAAAACAAATTTTATTATATTAATTTAATTATATAATATATAATTTTATTTTATTTTTTTTATCAAGATGCATTTGAAATTAATTAAAAAGATAATAAAATTACTTCTTACACAAATAAAAAAATGCAAAATTAAAATTTGTTAAAAATTATACGATGTAAGATGAAAATAAAAAATTATGATACTTTTAAAAAAAAATTTAATTTTAAAGCTTTGAACGGATTTAAATATTGTTATTCATAAAGATAAAGTTATAAGCATAAGTAGAAATTTCTGCAATGAAACTTTAATAGCATTTAATTATAATTTTAAAATATCAATAATTAAATTGTAAAATTTCTATAAAGATGAATGCAGATAAATATATCGACCTTAGATAGATATATTTATGCCCTTTTAGAGAGCATTATAATTTGATTTATTGAAGAAAACCATAATATCATTTTCAGCAAAACAATAGTTAAGATTCAAAATAATTAAAAAAAAAAAAATTATGAAATTCTTCACATTTCTTTAATCTGAAAAATTTGTGAGGAATTTTATAATATATAATATATAAAAATGGGAAGCAATACAATATTAAAAAGTTAGAGAATGCAACAAGATATGAATGAAATAAAATCAAAAAAAAAAATTTTAATATAATATAAAAAATAATATTTGAAATAATTAAAAGGATATAATTAAGGATAATATTAGTTATTAAATTAATTTTTTCTTGAAAAATATTCCTATAGAAATTTCCTCATACTGTATATCAATTTTTTTTGCTTTTTTATTATTATTACTTATTACTTATTATTACTATTACTTTTTTTAAATTATTTTTTAGCATTCATCATATTATAATAATTCTTGAAATTTTTATTAAAAATAATAATATTTTTATAAAAATTTCGTCTATTGAATGTTATTTTGCAATTTTTTTATTTTACGATATAATATCCTCAGATATTCATTTTTCTATATTCAAAGATTATTTTAATTATTATTTATCATTAATTAAAATATATTGGAATTAAAAAATTACAAAAATTATATTCAAAGAATTTTTGAATTCCACACTTGTTAATAAAACAGGTGATTTTTATATTTTTGGAATAATTATTCAAATTTTATTATTTTGTTTTATTTGATTATATAATTTTTCACATGTATTAACCTAACGTCTCAAAGTTACATTTTATATTACCTTAATTTTCTTCGTTGCCTCGATAATTGATTGCGGTTGTGGTTTGCATCTGTAATACATTTTAATGTATTAAATTTTGTTATGTATAAAAAATTAAATTAAAATGTATAAAAAATTGAATTTATAATTTTAAATACTATAATAACTTACAGTTCAGGAACACAGATTTCCATGATATTAATTATCGTTTATAATATCAGAATAATTAATAAAAGGAACTAAATAAACAAAATATATTTACATTTTATCAAAAAGTTTTAAAATATTAATATCAAATAAAAAATAAATAATTTTACACCGTCACGATATGAAAGGTTAATACCATAGTAGGCAACGAAATAATAATTGTAAAATTTAATTGAAATGTCAATTTCTAAAAAAAGACAAAGAGAATACAAAACGGTACTCTTTTGTTTATATTTTTCTTATCTTTCATATTAGAATGTTTTTAAAATTCAAAAATATATTTTTTCAGAAATTATTATATATTTTTATATATGAAATTAAAATTTTTTATTATAGAAACGAAATGAATAAAAAATATATAGTTTTATTTAAAAAAATAAATTTAATTTTCATATATCTTATATATATTCACTTATTATTATACTTATATACTTATTTATTATACTTTTCATTAAAATAATTAATTATAAATAAATTAATAATTAAATATTTTATATTATATGTTATATTGAATATTAT